TTTTTTTGGTTTTTCTCCGGTACCGGGAACCGAACTCATGACCTTGCACTTGCCAGGCAGGTGCTTTGCCGCTGAGCTAAATCCCCAGCCCCTTGAATTCATTTTGTAGCCCAGACTGGCCTTGAAGTTGAAAGGATCCTCCTGCCTCAGCCTCCTGAGCGCTGGGATTACAGACATACACCACCACACCCAGCTCTTTCTTTCTTTCACATATGTGGTACTTGGGATTGAACCTGGGCCTTCTACATCTACATCTCCACCCCTTATTTTACTTCTTGAGACAAGGTCTCACTGAATCACCCAGGCTGGGGTCAATATTCTGATCCCCCTGCCTCAGCCTTCCAGGGTGAGTGGATGTACCACCATACCCAGTGTTTTTTGGTTTGTTTGTTTGTTTTTGTTTTTTATTGTTTTTTGTGTTTGAGACAAAGTCTCTATGTAGATGAGGGTGGCGTCAAACTTACTATGCACCCTTCTAAATGCTGGAGTTCTAGGCATGTGTCCTTATGCCTGGCGTTTTGTTTTGTTTTGTTTTGAGACAGGGTCATTTTATATAGCCCAGCCAAGAGCTTACTATGTACCTCTAGGCTTGCCTCAAATTTAGGATCCTCCTGCCTCAGCCTTCTGAGTGCCTTGTCCTTATTTATCTATAGACCCAGGCAGGGGTATTCAAGCTATAAGACCAACTAGACAATCTCAGAGAAGTGGTGAACAAAATAGTGCTTACCAGCGCTGGGGAGATGGCTTGGTGGTAGAATACTTACCTAGCATGTATGAGGTCCTGTGTTCAATGCCCAGCAACACACACACACACACACACACACACACACACACGGTGACCAGAGTCTGGGAAGAGGACAGAGAAAGGAAAATGGAGAGAGGGAGATTAGTGGGTGCAGAGGTGCATAAGAGGAGTAAATTCCAATGTTCTATAGTAGGGTAGGATGACTATAGTTGACAACAATTAATTGAAACTTCAAAACAGTGAGTAGAGGAGATTTTGAATGCTCCTAACACAAAGAAGTGTTGTTTGCCTGAGGTAATGTATATGCCAATTATCTGATATATCATTACACATTATATATATGCATTGAGCCAGGCGTGGTGGCGCACACCTGTAATCCCAGCACTCAGGAGGCTGAGGCAGGAGAATCCTTGCGAGTTCAAGACCAGCCTGGGCTACATAGTGAGCTCAAGACCTACCTGAACTGTATAGCTACACCTTGTCTCAAAAAGACAAAAAAAAATAATTGTGTGTGTGCGTGTGTGTATATATATATACACACACACACACGCACACACACGCATTAAAATAGCATGCTCACCACGTAAAATGATGATGTGCCATTGTAGATATAGTTTAGTTTGAAGGTCTTAGGCTCAATCCCCTATGCCTCCCTCAAAATGTTTATACACACATACCCATATGGATTGGAGACGAAGGGCAGTGGTAGGGCATGTGCTTAGCATGCTTGAGGCCCTGGGTTTAAACCTGGGGCTGAATTTGGGAAAATGAAAAACAAAAAAAGACCAGTTCTTCTTTGGTTTGCATTTTGCTGAAAGGTGACAAGATACCAGAGAGCTTCTATTGAATTGAGTTGAGTAAAGTAGAATCACAGTTTTAAAAAGATTCTGAACTGTTGCCTTGCCTTTAATTATAGAATGAAATATAATTATTGGAGGAGATTTTTCCAATTATCCAGTCTAGTTATTTTCAAAACAATGGAGCTGGGTATGGTGGTCCTCCCTGTAATCCAAGCCCTATGGGAGGTGAGGCAAGAGGATTGCAAGTTCAAGCCCAGCCTGGGCAATTTAGTGACTTAGTGAGACCCTGTCTTAAAATAAAGAATAAAAAGTAATTGAGGATATAGCTCAGTGTGGAGGCTGTGAGTTTAGTCTTTTCTCTCTCTCTCTTTTTTTTTTTTTTGAGACAGGGTCTCGCTATGCAGTTCAGGGTGGCCTCAGGCTCACTTTGTAGCCCAGGCTGGCCTCGAACTCACAACAATCTTCCTGCCTCAGCCACCCGAGTGCTGGGATTACAGATGTGCACCGCCACGCAGGGCAGGCCCTGGGTTTAATCTCCAGTGCCAAAAGAAAGAAATAAAGACAGACAATAGAGGAGTTTACCTGGTGCTACACAGTAGGTAAACCTGGACAAGACCCCATGTCACCTGACTCCCCATTCGATATTCCCAAGATTATACTTCCTTCTACTCAGTCTTGGTTTTTTTTTTTTCTCCTAGACTTGGAACGCCAGTTGGAAGAGCAAAAGAAGCAAGCCCAGGATCATAGGCTAAAGTCCCAGACCGTTCAGAACGTGGTACTGATGCCTGTGAGCACTCCAAAACCTCCCAAAAGGCCCCGGCTGCAGCGGCCGGCCTCCACCACTGTCCTGAGCCCTTCTCCTCCCGTCCAGCAGCAGCCTCAGTTCACAGTCATCTCACCCATCACCATCACCCCCATGGGGCAGTCCTTTTCCATGGGCAATATTCCCGTGGCCACACTCAGCCAGGGCTCCAGCCCTGTGACTGTCCACACACTGCCTTCTGGCCCTCAGCTCTTCCGCTACGCTACAGTGGTCTCCTCTGCCAAGAGCAGCTCACCAGACACAGTGACCATCCACCCGTCATCCAGCCTGGCACTGCTAAGCTCCACCACCATGCAGGATGGCAGTACCCTGGGCAACATGGCGACCATGGTGAGCCCCGTGGAGCTGGTGGCCATGGAGTCCGGCCTGACCTCAGCCATCCAGGCCGTGGAAAGCACCTCAGAGGATGGGCAGACCATCATTGAGATTGACCCAGCCCCAGACCCTGAGGCCGAAGACACTGAGAGCAAAGCAGTCATCTTGGAGACAGAGCTGAGGACTGAGGAGAAAGTCGTGGCCGAGATGGAAGAGCACCAGCATCAAGTCCACAATGTGGAGATTGTAGTCTTAGAGGACTGACTGGGGTCTTGGGGCCAGGAGCTATGTTTTGGTTTGGAATTTTAATTATTTGTTTATTTTTATCATTGTCCCACTCATTTCCACATAGGATCCTTTTTTTACAAAAAAAAAAAATCTCATTATTGTAACTGAAAACGCTGGGGTCCTCCCATCCTCTCATTGAAAAATGGACACAACCAGCTCCCCTTCCAGAAGGTGAGAGTGTCCTAACCATCTTATTGTAAGAAAGTTATTTCTTTTCGGGGAGGCATCAAAGGAACCAGAACCCTTCGCAGACTAGCCTGGTCCATCTTTGTGCGCTTGGTCTTATGCTTGTAAAGATGCATTGACCAAACTCCGGAACGCAGATGTGCCCCTGGAAGGCGACCCAGTGTTACGTGTTTGTACCCTTGAAAGGCTCTGAAACAGATAAATGGAAGTTGAACTCTGCTTGGAGGGGAAGATAGCTCACCAGCAGCAGCTTCAAAAGGGAAGTGCTTTGGCAAGGATGGAGCAGGGCTATTACTTTTCTTCCCAAAATGTAACTGATTCCCCTTGAGATCTGTGAGGAGCCGGGTGTGGTGGCGCACGCCTGTAATCCCAGCACATGGGAGGCTGAGGCAGGAGGATCTTGAGGCGAGTTCGAGTTCGAGACCAGCCTGGGCTACAAAGTGAGCTCAAGAGCAGCCTCAACTGCATAGGGAGACCCTGTCTCAAAAACAAGACAAAACAAAAAAAGAGATCTGTGAGTGTTGCTCCCAGGGCTGCCGTGTCACTGGTACATGGAGGGGCACATCACAGAGCAAGTGGCGGCAGTGGCCTATGGTTCTGCAGAAATAAAAATCAAGGAATGCCACAGCTGTGCTTTGGGGTTCAAAAGGATTGCTCCAGCTGGGCATGGTGGCACACGCCTGTAATCCCAGCACCTGGGAGGCTGAGGCAGGAGGATCATTGCAAGTTCGAGACCAGCCTGGGCTACAAAGTGCACTCAAGGCCAGCCTAAACTGCATAGTGAGACCCTGTCTCAAAAAGGAAAAAAAAAAAAAAAAATAAAAACAAAACGATAGCTCGCCTTGCCCTCCACTCTGTCAGAGCACTTGCCCTCCCAACGTGAGGTCAGGCCCTTCATTTGCAAACTCTGTGACATGGTGTGAGTTGCTCTGGTTCTTGAACTGTGGCTGTCTGGGGCCAGGGCTCCAACGCCCGTCATTCTCACTGCGTGACTCCAGGAGCAGGGGAGTCGCTCACCCAGACCAGCCACCATAAGGCTTGTTTGGTTTGGTTTTGGTTTTTTTGGATTTGGAACCAAAAGCAGCCACTCATTTTGGTGCTTCCTCTCCTTCTCCCCTCCATCCCTCAACTCTTAGTGGCATCTGTCCCCTGGGTCCTACACCCTTCAGCTTTGTGGCTGACGTGGAGAAGTGATGGGTGCCTGCCTGCCTTCGTCCCCTTTTAGACTCATTTGTACCACAGATGTTTCTGTGAGAGATTGAGTGAGCGCTTCCAAAGCCCTAGGCTTGGCAGGGAAGACTGGTGAACGCCCCCAGCCCCTCCTGAGGCACCAGCCAGCTGTCTGCTGGGCCCGCCGGACTCTCTGGGAAAGAAACCTTGTCTGTGACGTCATACTCCAGCAAACGCATCAGGAACATCAATCATAATGTCTTGGGGGGATGTTTTGTTTTGTTGTGTTTTTGTTTTCTTTCTCTCCGTAAATGTTTGTATATTTGGAGCTGGGTCATTTTCCATACTGTGATTCCTTCTCTTTGACCCTCTCCAGTGTTTGGGGCAAGAGCGGACCCTAGTTTTTATTTCTTTGATTGCATTGTTTACTGCACTAGGAAAAATATAGGGAAACCGCAGACAGCTTAAAGGAAAAATAGGTCAAAAAGGAAAGCACATACCTTAGGAATGGGAGGATTTTTTTTTCTATTAAAAGCACCATTTGGACCTGTAGTTTCCTTTTTTTTTTTTTTTTTTTTTTTTGAGGGGGTTCATTTCCTTCAAAGAAGGCACCTACTTGAAGCCGTGTCTCTCCCAGCAGATGTTGGGAGCCCTATCAAGCCTCTGAAAGCTGCATCCTGCCACCTCTCAGAGACGCCCTCTAACTTGGGAGGGTCTCTTAAAAGCTATAAAAATGAGATTTCTGCACCCCATTTAGTAGTGGGTTTCCGCTTTAAAATTGGGGTTTTATTTTTCTTCTTAAAATATTTAATAGAACTTAGCACTCAAATTAGAACAAACTTTTGGCCCTTTAAGTATCAGTACAGACAGAAGTGCTTTTGTTCCCTGCTTTAGTTTTTCTCTTGGTTTTAAACAAAAACCAAATTTCTGTCTTAAGACTGATACTACTGCCTCAACCTAGAAGGCACATCTCATCCCCACTGTGGTCTTTAGGGACGCTTTTCTCTTTTTCAGAAGTAAGAGACCCAGTTCAGGGCAGCAGAGGAGCTCTAGAGAATTCCAGCAAGTTAGCTTATTCCTTTCTTTCCTCCGTCAGAACTGTTGGTGGTGTTTCACGGAAGTTGGAGCACCAGGCTTCCCAGCTGAAGAGATCTCCTTAAGGCAGAGCCTGTTTACTTTCGCTCTGAATGTTCCAGCAGGTGAAATAATGAGCTTGTCTTCCTGGTCTTCCAGTACCCTGTCATTACTAACTGCTATGATGCCTGTTCTCGAGCGTGGGTTCCTTCACAGCCCCGATCTGGATGATTTTAGATGGGGTGAGGCATACAAGCCGCTGATATATGCGTAAGCAGCTGCCATGGATCACTCCTCAGGCTGACTTGATAATAGCTACCTTTCTATCCATGCATTAAATAAACGTTTCTAAGTACCATCTATGTGCCAGGCTTTGTGCTAGGCACTGGCCGTGCCAAGATGAAGACACGGTCCCTTGCACTCAAGGAGTTCCTGCCAGACCTCTGGCATCCAGAACCATGTTCCAGTATGGTTGGATTCTTTTGTAATCAATCCAATGTATTTGTGTGTGTGTGTGTGTGTGTGTGTGTGTGTGTGCGCGCGCGCACTCCTATGTATTTTATCCACTGAAAAACATTCTGAGCATAAGTTTATAGATTTCACCAAACTACCAATGGCACAAAAAGCTGAAGCCACCTCTCCTGAAATACTGAGACATCATGATATTAGGTCGAGCACAGCGATAGGACTGCAGCCTAGAGTTGAGAAAATAAAGGCTCAAGCACCTAACCCAGCATAGGGGTAGGAGTGGGGCTCAGCACCTGTGGAGTACTTGAGCAGCTGTGTGCCTAGGCTGATTTAGTTCTTGTTTTTGTTTTTTTGAGACAGGGTCTTGCTCTGTAGCCCAGGCTGGCCTCAAACTTCTAGCAGCCCCCCTGTCTCAGCCTCCTGAGTGCTGGGATTAGCTCTGCACCACCACATGTGGCCATGCCTGATTTAAGAGATTGTTTTTGTAGTTTTCAAGTAATTGGACTTATTTCTAAAGGAGACAAAAAATCTTTTATCTCTTGCAGCAGGGCATTCTCTCCAGAGAATGCTCCACCGGAGAAAGCCGAGTTACATTTGGGCTTCTGGAGTCCATCAGATGGGACCCTAGGCTGAGTCCAGCACGGCTCCAGAAGCTGGGTGGTAGCAGGTAGATGCTCCAGCCTCCTTGCCATGTGCTTTCCACAAAGGCCTCAGATTGGCTGTGCAGCTCTCTTGCCTGCCTTGTCCACTTGGTCCCTGCCTTGTCCCTTTCTGTCTCGATTTCTAGCTCCCTCCTCCCCTAAGGCCGTCACCCTGAGATAAAAAATAAACAGACATGACTGTTGAAGATTTAAAAGCCAGGCGTGGTGGCGCACGCCTGTAATCTCAGCACTCAGGAGGCAGAGGCAGGAGGATTGCTGTGAGTTTGAGGCCAGCCTGGGCTACAAAGTGAGCTCAAGACCAGCCTGACCTGCATAGCAAGATCCTGTCTCAAAAAGACAAAAAAAAAAAAAAAAAAGATTTAAAAGCAGTACTGGGTGCATTTTTTCTGCACTTCTTGTCTATGTTAGGGAAGGAAGGCCAATATTATTCTAAATATTGTGGAAATTAATATTGAGCTCAGGAGTTCTGACATCCTTTGTGGTAGCCTTTATCCCGTTTCACCACAGACACTGAAGGTAAGTGTGTGGTGGGGAGTACTGATGATAGAGCAAAGACCAAGCGTGAAATACAGGAGTCCTACCTAACTGAATTATACCAGAGAAAGGTTTTGCTATAAAGAGGTAGGACACAAAAAAAGCTTGGCTTCTGAAAATAAGCTTAAGGTTGTGATCCACCTTGGGCAGTGCTCTAGGGGAAATAGTCCTCTCAGACAAAAAGTCAGCCACGAGCCTAGCTCCTTCCTGCATTTTCAAACAGGCCTGTATACTGGGGCTGGGCAGATCCCTTATGCTTGGAATGATTCCTCCCTGGGAGAGGTTGTTTTGTTTTGTTTTGAGACAGGGTCTCACTGTGTAGTCCAGGCTAGTCTCAGACTTGTGATCCTCCTGCCTCAGCCTCTTGAGTGCTGGAATTAAGAGGTGTGCACCACCACATCCGGCTCCCTAGGAAACTGGTAAACTTGTAAGTAGTCTGTAATATACTTACCTAACAAAGGTGCTTGTCAGGGACCCTAAGGGATGAGTCGCCAGATTTGGACCCTTTGTCCCTGGAGTTTACGTTCTTAGCACTGTTTGAGTCCTCTCCAGGTTTTTGTCCCAATCTTTAAATGCATTTTGTAGTCCTGAGTTTGTTCTTTTTTGGGGGGCAGGTCTCACTATGTACTCTAGGCAGGTCTTGAATTTGTTATATAACCCAGATGGCCTTGGACTCATGATCCTCCTGCCTCAGGCTTCCAAGTGCTGAAATTACAAGTGTACACTGCCAGGTGCTGTTGAATTAATTTTGATTTGCATTAGAGCATTCCACTAAAAAAAAAATAAAAAGCATTGCACTTTCAATCCCCCTCGCCCCTCACCCTTGCTCTATCCTTCCTTTCTATCTCTTGCTTTTAGGAACCAAAGTATGGTTCCTACATTGTGCCATGTAAGTTGCCTTTCTGTCCAGTCAGTAGGGTAATACTCTTTTTTTTGCGGGGGGCGGGGGTGTACTAGAACCAAGTTCTTATAGTTGTGAAACACAGGGCCTTCACACTGAACTACATCCCCAGCCCTTTTTTTAAAAAAAATTTATTTTGAGATATAGTCTCACTAACTTGCTAATTGCCCAGGCTGATCTCGAACTTGTGATCTTCCTGCTTCAGCCTCAGAGTGCTGGGACTACAGTGTGTGCTACCACACCTGGCTAACTTTCAACTCTTGAGACAATCTTTCTTCCTATCATAGTTACTTACTTGCTGCTGAGACAAAATACCCAACACCCACATGTTAAAAGTGGAAAAAGGTTTATGTGTAGAGGTTTTAGTCGATAGTTGGCTGGCTTTAAGGCAGGGTGGCATGGCAGAGGAG